CACCGATTTAACGGTGCTCACTACTGGAAAATTTTCCCTCATTCACTTGCAAAGATTACTGGTCATCTAGTCCGTTCTGCAGGTTTCAGAGAGGTAAGGCATTCTACCATTTAAAATGTCTGCTTTTGGGAGGGCAAATAATCCCTATGTTGGCATTATGAGCCTTATGTAGTCCATGACCTAATTAGAGTATCTCTCATGGCACTTCCTTACTAATATCAACTTTTGTCCTTCATGACACCTGCTCATCAATAATTTAGGCTGAGCTTAGTGGGGTGGCTCTTCCTCTTCCCCACTGTTTGTTTTATTTTTTAATTTTTATTAGTGAAATACCACCCTTTATTTGGTGCTCCCTTCTCTATCTGAGCTCCCTTTCCCCCTAGCATGTGTGGCTGGTCTCTAAGTCATGGAGCAAAATTCCTGGTACTATCTCGGCCACTCTTGGGTGTTAAGTCTCCCATTTTGTTGCTTTATGTTCCCCAGATGAATGCAATCTTTCTGTGTCTATCCCGCTCTTTCTGACTCATTTCGCTTAACATGATACTTTCCATGTAGTACTACTTGTATGTAAATTTCATAACTTCATCTTTTCTAACAGCTACATAGTACTCCATTGTGTAGATGTACCAAAGTTTCTTTAACCAGTCATCTGTTCTTAGGCACTCAGGTTTTTTCCAGATTCTGGCTATTGTAAAAAGTGCTACAATGAACAAACAAGTGTAGATGTCACTTCGACTATACTTTTTTGCCTCGCTGGAATATATTCCCAGGAGTGGTATTGCTGGGACAAATGGTAACTCAATTTCTAATTTTTTGAGAATCGTCCATACTGTTTTCCAAAAGGGCTGAACCAGTCAGCATTCTCACCAGCAGTGAAGGAGGGTCCCTTTCTCACCACATCCAGGCCAGCACCTGTTGATTTTGTTCTTTTGGATATGGGCTATTCTCTGTGGTGTGAAATGATACCTCATTGTTGTTTTGATCTGCATCTCCCTGATGATTAATGATGTAGAGCATTTTCTCATGTGCCTTTTTGCCATTCAGATTTCTTCTGTGAGAAAGTTTCTGTTCATTTCATCACCTCATTTATTGAAGGGGTTGGATGTTTTCTTCTTGTGGAGCTCTACCAGTCCCTTGTATATCCTTGGTATCACCACTTGTCAGATGTGTATTCGGCGAATATCTTTTCCCATTCTGTAGACTGTCTTTGTATTTTGGTCACTCTTTCTTTTGAGGTGCAGAAACTTCTTAGTTCAAGATAGCCCTATTTGTCTATCTCTGTTTTCACTTGCTTGGCCAGTGGCGCGACATCTTTGAAGATACCATTAGCTTCAATATCATGGAGGGTTTTGCCAAATCTGTCTTCAGTGAACCTTACGGATTCCGGTCTGATGTTGAGGTCTTCAATCCATTTTGATCTTACTTTTGTACATGGCGTTAGGCAGAAATCTGAGCCTACTTTTTTGCATGTAGCCATTCAGTTTTGCCAGCACAATTTGTTTAAGAGGCTTTCCCTGCTCCACTTTATTTTTCTTGTCCCCTTATCGAAGATTAGATGATCATATGCTTGGGGGAGATGTCAGTATATTCAACCCTGTTGCATTGGTCTACAGTTCTGCCTTTGTTCCAGTACCATGCTGTTTTAATTATTACTGCTTTGTAGTAGAGTCTGAAGTTAGGGAGGTTCATTCCTCCCATTTTCTTTTTCCTAAGAATTACTTTAGCTATTCGTGGGGGCTTATTGTTTCATATAAATTTCAGGAGTGTTTGCTCCATTTCTTTGAAGAATGCCATGGGTATCCTAATAGGGATCACATTGAATTTGTACAGTGCTTTGGGAAGTATTGCCATTTTGACAATGTTAATTTTCCTCATCCATGAACAGGGGATATTTTTCCACTTCCTTGTGTCCTCTTTTATTTCCTGAAGTAGAGTTTTGTAGTGTTCTTTGTACAGGCCCTTTATTTCCTTAGTTAAGCTGATTCCTAGGTACTTGATTTTCTGGGGCACAATTGTGAATGGGATTGTTTTCTTCATGTGACTTTCTTCTCTTTCACTATTTGCATATAGGAAAGCCATGGACTTTTGGGCATTGATTTTATAGCCTGCCACTTTACTATACAAGTCTATTGTTTCTAGGAGTTTCCTGGTAGAGGTTTTAGGGCTCTCTAAGTATAGTATCATATTATCTGCAAATAGTGAGAGCTTGATTTCTTCCTTTCCTACCTAAATGACATTAATATCTTTTTCTTGCCTAACCACTATTGCAAGTACTTCCAGTACTACATTGAACAGCAGTGGAGAGAGTGGGCATCCTTGTGTCGTCCCTGATCTTAGAGGGAAGGCTCTCAGTTTTCCCCCATTGAGGATGATGCTTGCCATAGGCTTGTGATAGATGGCTTTAACTGTATTGAGGACAGTCCCTTCTATACCCCTTTTGGTGAGGGTTTTCATCATAATCGGGTGCTGGATCTTCTCAAATGCTTTCTCTGCATCTATTGATATGATCATATCGTTTTATCTTTTCTTTTGTTGATATGATGGATTATGTTGATTGATTTCTGAATGTTAAACCATACTTACATCCCCGGGATGAATCCCACTTGGTCATGGTGCATGATCTTTTTGATGAGTTGTTGAATTCTATTTGCTAGTATTTTGTTCAGAATCTTCACATCTGTGTTCATCAGGGATATTGACCTGTACTTTTCTTTTCTTGTGGTGTCTTTGTTTCCTTTTGGAATTAGAGATATGGGCTTCATAGAAACTGTTTGAGAGAGTTTCTTTTTTTTCCAATATCCTGGACACCTGGGGGGCTTGCAGTGAGAAATCCAAGTCCGGGGTTCGAATACTGGCGGATAAACTGACCTGGGTTTGGGAGAAGACCAGCACAGCTTGGGGGATGAAGAGCCCTCTTCCCCACTGTTATGTTCTATGAGGATTCTGTCTCACCCCATTCACTATCTTGAGAAAGATCTGTCAGAACAGGGTGACTTGATTTGTTCTTTACTTCTAGGCCAGTAAGTGTCAAGTGTAAAAGGTAAATAAAAGTAAATTAAAAGGACTGAAAAATCCATTTGCAGTATTTGGAAACTACAGATCCTGGCCCCTGTAGTCACCTTTAGTGACACTGTCAGTTAGCCAGACAAATGGCCGCAACACATGGATTGGACTGAATTGAAAAGTGTGTTCTAAACTGAACTGTGCCACAAGTTTGCTAAAGCACAGTAAGAGCAAGAACTCTATGGGTTGTTTTTCCTTTTTTTTTTTTTTTAAAAGGGAACAGTGCTGGGAGATAGCCCTATGGGCTTAGTGCATCTCTGCATGCAGGAGGCCTAGGTTTGATCCTTAGCACCACATGGTTCAAGGGAGTTACCCTGAGCACAGAGCCAGGAGTAGCCCCTTGAACATGACACACCAAATAAAACAACCAAAGGATAATTAAATGTACGAGAAAGGTGGTGAGGATTAAAAAGAGGGCTCAAGTGGCTGGGCACACACCTAGCTTGTGGGAAGCCCTGAGCTCATTCCCCAGACCTGGTAGGATCCCCACACCACCTGGAAGAGCCCTGCTGGGCCCTGAGCACTTCTGGGCACCACCCCAATGAGCATCACCTTCAGTGGCATCTGCCACTAATTAAAAAAACTCTTTAAAAAAAAGTGATGGGATTGTGCTCATCAAACACAGTTTTTTCCCCCATAAGAACTCAGGGCTAGAGCTACAGCGCAGCAGTAGGGCGTTTGCCTTGCACGCAGGTGGCTCGGCAGAGCCAGGTTCGATTCCTCCGCCCCTCTTGGAGAGCCCATCAAGCTACCGAGAGTACCTCGCCCGCGCGGCAAAGCCTGGCAAGCTACCCGTGATGTATTCAATATGCCAAACACAGTAACAACAAGTCTCATGATGAAGACATTACTGGGCGTGCTCAAGCAAATCGATGAACAATGGGAGAACTGTGACCGTGAAGATCTCAGAAAGATATTATGTGTCTTCTGACACACTTCTATCATATTTAAGTCTTTTACTCGCATGCAATTTGTTTATAGCCTTTCCTTCTGGCTCCATCTGTTTTGTTTTCTTGGAGGAATTCCCAAGAACATGTTAGGGGATTCTCAAGCAGTGTTTAGTGTGTTCTGGGGCGCTGTCTAAGACAAGAAAGGCAATGGTTCAATGTAGAGGACCACCAGGGTGCTGGGAGACCTGAAAGGCTGAACCCAGTGATGTTCACATATCCATATGGCATCGGGTCAGTTCACATGCCATAGTACATGTGCCAAACCCTTGGACTATCTCTCCAGCCCCATTTGTCTGTTTTTAATTGACATTTATCTTACTTTTATTGTATTTTATTATATTAACAATTTGTTTTATTTTGCTGCATTATATATACATATATATAAAACCTTAGATACTTTTCAAAAAACGGTGGACTTTAAGTGAATTTAACTGTAGTAAAGTTAATTTTTGGGGGGCCTTTTTTTTGGGGAGGGGGCACACCCAGCAATGCTCAGTGGTTACTCCTGGCTTTGCAGTTAGAAATTATTCCTTGAAGTGCTTGGGGGATCATATGGGATCATATGGAGATCCTGTGGGATGCTGCCTGCAAGGCAAACAAATGTCCTGCTTGCTATACTATCTGGATCCAAACTTAGAAATGTTTATTGAAAGAAATTTTACAGAAGAAATCATTTTTTATTGTTGTTTTTTGGGTCATACCTGGCAGTGCTCAGGACTTACTCCTTGATCTGTGCTCAGGAATCACTCCTAACAGAACTTCAGGAGACCAAGTGTCATTCCAGAATTGGACCAAGGTTGGCTGCATGCAAGACAAATGCCTTAACCCTTGTAGTATCTCTCCAACGTCAAGAAATCTTTTCTTTAACTCACTCATTTACTCAATGCAAACTTATTTAAGTGCATCTTGAATTCTATTTCCCAGTGATTTGCTTCTTCAGTTAGAACTATCTTCGATTTCTGAAACAGTAAAGTTGTAAATGCTTACAGGCACGTGGACTTTCCGAAACATCTCAGCACCTTTGCGTGCATCCATCAATGCAATGTCTTGGGGTGTAGAGACAATCACAGCTCCTGAGGAAATGAAAACAGAAAGATAGCAAAAATAGTATGAACTTAAATTCTTTGTGGAATGATTACTTCCAAAATTATGTTGCTAAAAAATCTATTACATAAATTTTACATATGAATGGGGACAATGAGGAAATACCTACTCTGTTTTCACTAAATATTGACTCTTTGATTTGAAAATGACAAGGAAATAACCAGTGAGCGAAGATCCTTCTTCCCTTTCAACTGTACTAGTGAGAAGATGCGCCAGTCAGGGCCTTCTTTCAAGATGCTAATAGAATACTTGGGGAGACCAAAAATTAAAGACAACAAAACTAAGTCTGTAAGCAGAGGTATGCAGTTGTGTTTATATGCTAGTAAGGTAAAGGTAAGGTAAAGGCCCTCCCGTTGATCGTCGATTTGCTCGAGCGGGCCCAGTAACGTCTCCATTGGAGACTTTGTTGTTACTGTGTCTGGCATATCGAATACTCTCGGTAGCTTGCCGGGCTCTCCGAGAGGGGCGGAGGAATCGAACTCGGGTCGGCCATGTTGGCTGCTTGTAAGGCGAACGCCCTACCCGCTGTGCTATCGCTCCAGCCCTTATCAGAACTTATTAACGCTAGGATCACTAAAGTTGGTATATGCTAGTATGCAGTTACAAAGAAGCAATAGTACTAAAGCATGTATTACAGAGAAGTTATTGGTATGGAAAATAGCTTAGTGGAGGTTAAACTATGGATCATAGAAATTCAGATACAAAATGGTAGTGGCATAAAGGTGGGGCTGAAAGTGGATAAAGATGGCTATTTCCTAGACACTCCACTATAGACCAGAAGAAAATGGATGGTTCTATAGACCAGAAGAAAATGGATGCTCTGAGAAAAAGTAAGGTATAGTATTGTTTTTTTTTAATTAAAAATTTTTTTAAATTAATTTTTATTAGTGAAACGCCATGAGGTACAGTTGTAGACTGACAAATTTTTGTGCTTGGATTTCAGTTATACAATGATCAAATACCCATGCCTCCACCAGTGCCCATTTTCCACCACCATGGATCCCAGTATCCCTCCCATCCCCATCCCCCCCATCCCACCCTGCCTCTGTGGCAGGGCATTCCCTTTTGTTCTCTCTTTCCTTTTGGGTGTTGTGGTCTGCGAGAGGCATTGAGTGGCAATCATATTCAGTCCATAGCCTACTTTCAACATGCATCTCCCATCCTGGGAGGATCCTCCCAATACCCTTTATTTGGTGCTCCCTTCTCTATCTGAGCTGACCTTTTCCCTAGAATGCCCGGCTGGCCTCTAAGCCATGGAGTAATCCTCCTGGTACTAATCTCAGCTATTCTTGGGTATTAATCTCCTATTTTGTTACTTTATGTCCCCCAGATGAATGCAATCTTTTTAGGTCTATCCCTCTCTTTCTGACTCATTTCGCTTAGCATGATACTTTCCATGTAGTACCACTTGTACGTAAATTTCATGACTTTATCTTTTCTAACAGCTACATAGTACTCCATTGTGTAGATGTACCAAAGTTTCTTTAATCAGTCATCTGTTCTTGGGCACTCAGGTTTTTTCCATATTCTGGCTATTGTAAAGAGTGCTGCAATGAACAAACAAGTGCAGATGTCACTTCAACGGTATAGTATTGTTCTAACTGAAAACATCAGTGGTCTGAGCAACACAGCTACATCACAATCCACCAAAAGTACTTTCAAATGAGCAAAATTCCTTCATTCTTTACAATAAATTAGTGCCATTAATTTGGCTTTTATTGACTTTGTAAGTTTTGCTTATATTTAATGTGTAACTTCTTTTCAGTTAAGAGCTACAGCTTAAGGAGTTTATGCTTATACCTTGCTAAGTGATCTTATAATTAAGTCAATACAGTGTAGGAAATTATTTTCCCTTTAGAAGATGGTTTAGTTTATTAAGTTTGAAAATCACTAGCTTTGGAATTTCAGAAAGATCTTCCACCATCATCTCTCCCAAACACACAAAACAATACCAAATGTGTTATATTTAATTGGAAGAGTGAAATAATTACATGAACTAATGTACCTGAGATGCCTGACATGAAACCTAGACACAGGGTAGACATTCAGTATGTGATAACTGTTAATAATGTTATTATCTTTACTGTTGTTGTTAATAGAATCTGTTGGAAGGTCATTTTCGTATCTGCCATCAGAGCTCATTCTTTTCAAATCGATTCATGGATCACTATCACGATCATCCTGTTGTTCATCGATTTCCTCAAGCAGGCACCAGTAACGTCTCCTTCTTCCTAGCCTTGAGATTTTAAAAGAGTCATTTCAATGCTCTTCCAGGATTAGGAGAACGAGACCCATCATTGTTACTGGTATTTGGCATATTGAGTACGACACGGGAAGTTTGCCAGACTCTGTCGGGTGGGCAGGATACTTTTGGTAGCTTGCCAGGTTCTCCAAAGGACAAATTTGATAATAAGATGTCGCATGTTGCATGTTTTTCTCTACTCCATTTTTAAAAAATCAAAATTTAGTTCACAGTTATCTTTCTTCTCTTTTAAGATTGATGGTAATCATACATGTCAAAGTTTATCCTCAATTTTATTCTACGTATTCAATATATGTTCTCAACTTAATATCACCAACTAACATTCTGTATCAATCTATGTCACTGTTTTCATGTGTAGGTCTTTGGAGGGGATTTAATTCTATTTCTGTCCTGATCTAGCTTTGTGACAAATTGCAGGCAAGTAATAAAAATGACTCTGGGTCTCAGTTCCCTAGGCCACAAAAGGAATGAACAGATTAGATGGTCTTCAAGGTTTCAGCTAGGTCTCTGATGACAGTCCTACATTTTTGGCTTCTGTTTTGGTTGTTGAAACACACCCAGTGGTGCTCCCATCTTTGTATTTGGGGTTCAGCTCTGTATTTCGAGGTCCAGATCTGTGCATGGGAGTTGCTCCAGGCAGTAGTAGGTGTGGGGAGGAGGGAACCAGGTGGTGCCAGGATTAATCCTGCCCTTCTGCATGCAAAACATGTGCTCCAGTTCACTAAGCTTGCCTTTTTGGGGAAGGGTAAACTCCCAAATAGCTAAGGAGAACTAGCAACTGCTTTTTCAACCAGGTATGTGACTTAATGCTAGGGTTCAAGGATGTTATTTATTGAACTCTATGGTGCCAGGGATTACCCAGAGGTAATTCAGGTCCAGTAGTTCTTGGGGTCTCCAGAGCTGTACCATAGTGAAGCTCAAGGGTGTGGTGTTAGGGTTTGGGCTGGGGCCAGCTATATGCAAAGCAAGTGCCGTAACCCTTGTAGCATCTTTCTAGTCCATTGTATTTCTTCGTAACTCTAGTTATTAAAACCATCTCTATTCAACCTCATTGCCTCAGAAAACCCATTGAAGTGAATACTTACATTTTGCACCTCCTCTAAGAAGTACAACAGTAAATAACACACTTTCCTAGCTACTTTGTCACATGCTCCCCTTAATTCTTAAACTAGTATAGAGGTTGTTTTCTATTGCAGTTGCTCTAAAAAAAAAAAAACTTTAGCTTTGATGTGTGATAAACAATTTTTTTTTCTTTAAGGCGAAAGCGGCATTGTCTTCAAGCCTGTATTCTCCCTTAAACATGTACCTTACTTGTTTGACTTTATGTTTACTTGCTTGCTTATTTCCATTCTGATATTTTTTTTTAAAAAAAACTTTTCTTATTTTTCTCTTGAACACATACGTCCCCCCTTTTCACTTCACTCATGCTTTATAAGCAAGTTTCATTCAATAAAATCTACCTTGCTACACACACACACACACACACACACACACACACAGTAAAAGACTGAAAGCCAGAGACATAACTCAGAGGGTTGGCGAGTGTTCTCTGTAGGTGGGGGGTGAGGTGAGGATTGGGGGACCAGCGCTGCATAATTCCTCAGAGCACCACCAGATGTGGACCAAGAATTAAAAAAAGAAAAAGGAAAGAAAGGAAAAAAACAAGGCAAAAAGATTCAACAGTCTGAAGAGAAACTAGAATATTACTTTGCTTGTCTCAAATACCCTTTTTCTACCATTTATATTACAACAGCACAATACAGATAAGATTTTTCTTATTTCTTCATTGATCAGCTTTTAATCAAGTTAGTTTTTCTTAGTTTTTTTTTTTAAATCCTAGGTGATAGCTGCACAAATTCTTAGATGGTGACTCCTTTAACTAAGGAGTCAAGATCTGTGGCTCCTGGTTTTACTGACTCTGCTGATACTCACAATTTTGAAGAACTCACTAAATATCAACACAGCTCAATTAATGTCACTATAAAATGAATCTGTTTCAATGAGGTTATTAAATTTATGTGTTTTTAAAGGAAAAGTGCTACAAAAATGTTCAGTAACATTATTTTGATAGATATAAGAGCCTACAGACAGGAGTTAAAATGATCTGTTGTTAACACTAACATAGTATTGCGAATTTGCACCCATGGTGTTTATGTGTAATCTTTTATGTGTAATCGTGTGTAATTTTTTCGCCCCTTGAAATGTTTGTTTGTAACTAATGATCAAATCCTTAGCTATAATTCAAACATGCAAATAAAAACTTTCTGACAAGGACAATGAACATCTCCTATCAAATCCTTACAAAACATGGAAATATTCTGTTGTAACAACCTGCCACATAAAAGTTTTCATTTTATGCAAAATATTTTTAATGGTAGATGCCATTGCTTGCTTACTTACAATAGGAAATCATTTAATGATCTATTTAAGCTATATAAATTATTATCAAGATACCAAAAATTACTGAGACATAATCAAATCAGAAAAACTAATTAAAATTAACATCAGAATCTGATAATCTTATTTGCTACGGAATTACCTTATTGGGAATTTACTGCACTTTAATAAGGATCCCAGCCCTTTTATTATTTCATTTGCTATAGTTTAGAAAATTACAATTGTGTTAAAAATTAATGGTATTGAAATACAACATTTCTACATACCACCACCACCTGAGTGCCCACAACCTTCACCACTGTCTTTACA